CGTCCTGCGGGAAGGCGTTACCTGCTCGAAACAAGCGCCAGAGAAACAGCCAAGACCTACTCCACAGGGGAGGGTGCGAGGGCCCGCAAACAATGAATAAAAAACGATCACATACCATTGATTTCTTCCACTCCTTTATCAACATACGCAACATCATCTTCACGCTGGCCTCGCTCGCTGGAGCAGCCGCAACTGGACGGACCAGAGGGCCAAGGAGCAACCCGACAAGAACTTGGGCCACAACTACAGCTACAACAGAATCAGCTACAACGGGAAGGGCAGCAGCTACAACGGTAAAGGTCAGACTGCGAAGGATGGCATCGAGCCCGACAACTGGAGCCCGACAGACAAAGAGAAGCCAAGCAGGGCAAAGGGCGAGACAGAGCAGCAACCTGACAGTGAAAGACCCAACAAGAAGAAGGACGACACCCAGAACTACAATGATGGCATCGCCAAGATAATCAATAATGTCATGCCCATGAGGAGGATCTACGCCGCCAGGAGGCACGACTGGGAGCTGCCACCCAACGACCACAAACTGAAGGACGACTGGAAAAAGCTCAGACACATCGAGATGAGGCGGCCGCAGCAGCCATTGTCAAAAACAGTGCAGCAAGACAACCTTCTGCAGACGCCGTGGTACAGATCGCCTTCACCAAGGCCATGATCCTCAACACCATGTCCCTGGCGCAACAGACCAGGGAGATCAAGACAACGAGGCAGGCCATGAACGACTACTGCGAGAACACCAGGACCCACGGACAGCGATACAGGCCAACATGAGCGAGTTGGGGATCAGGATCGATGAGCTCAACATCCTCCAGCGGGACATCAGCAACGCCAAGGACGACCAGTACAGCGACAACGAGGCGGCCGACGACGAGGCCGACAGACCCCAACGGGAGGTACCCTCCAAAGGGATCCCAACCCCAGCGCCAAGAAGGCAGACAAGGGCCGGGGAAACCACAGAGGGCCAAGACGTTGGCACATTGCGCAGGACTCTCAAGGATGATAAGCAGCGCATGGCCTACGACATTAAAAAGAACAGGACATATACCAACAACGAAATCCAGGACCTAAAAAACACCTCCGAAAGGCAGAAGAAGAAGCTTTACAGCACCAACGTAAACACTACTTAGAAACAACCAGGGCACAAAGGAACAACGAGCTACTGACCGAGATCCAGAGCGCCAAGCAGATGACCGAGAAGATGGCATCGAACCACAAGTACATGCAAAAATGCAAGAATGCGGCGCTCGAGAGGACTGAGGAGCTGGAGGAGGCCAACAAAAAAGCCAACGCCGACGCCCACACCCAGCGCACACACCTTCTACGGAAAGGCTGAAAAAGAAGCTCCACGAGACACAGAGGAGGCTCACCGACAGCAACAGCAACCGCGACAACATGGAGAACCAGCTGAAAGAGGCGGCCAATATTGCGGACGAAAGACAAACGTACTACAATATGACCATTGAGGCCGAGCAGCAGGTCGCCCACATCGAAGGAAACGCTGCAGAGACCCACATCAGGGATTCCAACGACCACATCCTGTTGTACAACAAGTGGGGCGACGCGGAAAACAGGAGTCCACAAGCGCAGGAATTGCTGCAACATATTGAAATGCACATGGAAGACACCATCCACCACGTGCAAGGAGAGTACCAGCAACAAGAGACCAACATGGAACGCCTAGTCGGGATCTGGGACGCAGAGCAGACACAATAGCAGGAGCAAGATCTGCAAAGAGTACTTACCGACGTGAACACATACGTGCAGCGGGCACACTACAACTTGTCCCTGGCTGAGGAATGGGCAGAACTTATGGAACAGAGGGCGGAAGTGGGCACGGCAGGGCAGCACAATGCACTACGACGGGAGATAGACATCTACCGCCAGGAGGAGACCCAATGGAGGAACATGAGGAACACCCACGAGATGCGCACCGAGGAGGCACCCGAGGAGTATCGTCAAGGCCGACAGGACTGCAAAAAGGCCCAAGAGTGCCTGGGATACGAGGTTCTAAGGACGGCCCCACGAGAAGACAGGCGCAGACAGAAGAGGCCCAACCTGGAACAATTCGACCCGGGCCCGGCGCGTTGGAGATTGCGAAGGCACTCCTCGGTACTCCTCCCCCTCCCCGACGAGAGAAATCGAGAGAGAGAGAGAGTGAAAGAGAGAGACCCGCTCCGACGAATCCCACTCGCCGAAGGCTGGCACGGAGCCCCTTCAGGCGCAGCGGGCCGTAGCACCTCCCGCGCGGCGTCTCAGAGCTCAGAGTATCTAGGATGCCTCAGGCGAAACGGGGCAGACCGCGGCACCGCAAAGCTCAGAATTTCGAGGATGTCTCAAGCAGCACGGGCTAAACCACCTCGCGCGCGGTATCTCAGAGCTCAAATTTGAGAGGATGTCTCAGGCGAAACGGGCAGGACCACCTCTCGCGCGGCACCTTGGAGCCCCAAATTGCGAGGATATCCCACATGAGGAGCTCAGAGTTTCGAGGATGTCTCAGGCGAAACGCACCGGACCACCTCTCACGCGGCATCTCAGAGCTCAGGTTCGAGAAGATGTCTTAGGAGGCTCAACCCCAGACAGTTCAGAAACGAGATTTGTGAGGATGTCTCACGCGAAATGGGCCGTACCTCCAATCTTTGGGGGGACGCCTCTCTGCTTTAACTTCCCTCGGCTGGTACTAGCTTCTATCACACCAGCATCCTAGACAGCACAGCTGTTTGTGGAATTTTCCCGACGGCGGCACGAACATAAAACTGCACTGCACAAGAAGGCAGCACGGACAAAAAAACTGCACTGCAATACTCCCAGAATGAATCTGGGCACAGGCCACGGAAGCCTGAACAATCTCCCATGGACCTGGACAAACCCAAACCCTGCAGTGCAACAACAAAACAATTCACTGGACGACCAAGCGCACCAAGAAACAAATACACTGGACGACCCACATCTGACTCTGCAGGAAGCCGTGTTGTTGTCCCGACTTGCCCATCTCCGGGGCAGCATTTTTGGCCCGGCCTCGGGCGGGCCGGATCTGGCCGTGGCGACGAGGGCTCTCCTGGACGACCAGCGGCGTCGCTTTCTCCTCCCCGGAGTACAAGCGGTGCAGGGGGAGCTGAGACCCGATCCCAAACCCTCAGAGCTAAGACGTTATGAAGATCAAACTCCCAAACAAATTCTTTGAACATCTCCTTCCGCGTTCCCTTTATGCCGCCCCCCATTTCGGCGCACCCCCCACGCAGATCCCTGGCCTCGGAACGCCATAAATGGCGTCCTCCGAGTTTTTTGCAAATCCCTGGGCGCGCCCCTCACGCAGATCCTTGCCAAGGCGTCGGTAAGTTGCTGCGGGGAGCCACTCCTTGTTGTCGCTTCGCAGCGCGCGTCGCATCGCCGTTGCATCGGCCTCCGCGCGCCGCGCCGCAGTGGTAAGGATACGGACTGGGGATCCGTCTCTTCGAGGCAACGGGCTATCCCGCGCTCGTTGCGCAGCCACCCCATACAATCTCACCGCCGCTGGGCGGCGCCCCTGCGACGCACAAGGGTTTGCGTAAATATACGTTGTTCTTCAAATCGCGTCATCGCGCGCGCACCGCATCGCCGTTGCAGCGGCTTCCCAAATGACTTTGCGCGGCTGTCGTCGTCGTCGTTTTGAAATCAATATCGTCGCCTTCGTCATCAGTATCGTCGTCGTTTTGAGATCACGATTTCTTGGGTCATGGGTGGGTGGGACACTTCCAGGTTTGGGCTAGTGGAACCGAAACCCTAAACCCTAAGAGCTAAGAGCCTATGGAGATTTGAATCCCAAAACTCCTTAAACACCTGTTTCCATATGTTTCCGCGCTCCCTTCTGCCGCCCCCCATGTCGGCGCACCCTCGCGCAGATGCTTGCACTCGGAGTGCCAGGAATGGTGTTCCGAGAGTTTTGTCGCTTCGCGCGCGCGTCGTATCGCCCATGCATCGGCCTTCGCGCGCCGCGTCGCGGGGGAGCGCTCTCGCCAAGCAACGAACAATCCCGCGCGCCTTGTGGCAAGCCGGGGTATGCATCGCCAAAGCGTCGGTAAGTTGCTACGGGGAACTACTCGTTTTTGTCGCTTCGCGCGCGCGCGCGTCGCATCACCCTGGCATCGCCCTTCGCGCAGGCGCCGCAGTGCTAAGGATGCGAACTGGGGATCCGTCTCCTCGAAGCAGCGAGATATCCCGCGCTCGTTGCGCAGCCACTCCATGCAATCTCACCGCCGCTGGGCGGCGTCCCTGCGACGCACAGGGGCTCGCGTAAATATTCGCCGGCCCAACGAGCCAGAGGCGTGCAAAAATCTCCGGTAACTACTTAACAATATTTCTAGTTCGCGCGCGCGGGGCGGCCCCTGGGGGGCTCCGGACGAAAAGTACCCCGGCCGATCCCCGGCTGACCCCCGGGCGATCCCCAGGGGGGGGGGGGCTATTTTTCGCCACCCTTCACGAGGATCGTGGCCCCCGAGGGGGGGGGGGCGCAATCGACTACTACCCCCCCTTCCGCCCCAAGGGGCCCCCAAGAGCCCCCCAAGAGGCCCCAGGGGAGCCCAATACGCCGCCAAGGAGCCCTAAAACGCTCCCAAGAGGCCCCCAAGAAGCCCCCAAGACGGCTCCAAGAGGCCCCAAATAGCGCTCCAGGGCCGGCGGAATGAGCGAAGCGATTAAATGGAAGTTGTTCTTCAAATCGCGTCGTCGCGCGCGCGTGCCGCATCGCCGTCGCAGCGGCTTCCCATAAGACTTTGCGCGACTGTCGTCGTCGTCGTCGTCGTTTTGAGATCCATACCGTCGTCTTCGTCATCGGTATCGTCGTCGTTTTGAAATCCAGATGTCTTGGGTCGGTCATGGGTGGGTGGGACTCGTCCAACAAGCTTCAAGTTTGGGCTAGTGGACCCTAGACCCTAAACCCTCAACCCTAAACTTACAACCCTAAACCCTACACCCCAAACCCTAATGCCCTGCAGCCCTGCTGAGGCCGCCGCCAGGAAGGCGACGTCCAGGTCGCGCACCAGCGGCGCGTAGCGGCCTCTGGCGCGCCGGGCTCGGCCGGGTGGCGGCGCTTCGCCACGGCGCGCACCGATGCGGCCGCCCTCCCCACGACGGCGCGGCGACCTCTCGCGAGGGCTCCCGCGGGCCACCCACGACGAGCCAGGGGCAAATCGACGAGGCCACGTGCGAACCCTACCCCACCGCCTCGCGATATCAAAAGGGGGAGGTGGGGTTCGCTTCGCTCGGGAGGGGTCCCGAACGAAGTACCCCCCCCCCTCAGAGATCGTGGTGTGGCGGGGTAGGGTTCACATGTGGCCTGATGTTGCTCCCATCGTGCTCAATGACCGCATCCCAGAAATCATTTCGAGCACCCAGAAAAATATAGAATCTGTGTCGAACGAGTATCGTCTCCCCTGGACCGACACGCGAAAACCTGCCAATTTCGGTACATTATTGGTGCTCGAAATTCTTTCTGCGATCAAGGCTAACATAGGAACATCATATATTTGGCCTCCTACAATCCATGCTCCCTGCCCTAGCGGGCTGACCCCATGGATCCGCGGCATGCGCCCCGCGCGGGACGTCCGCCGCGGAGCCGCCAGGTGCTGGCAAAGTCTGGACCGCGAGGTCGCGGACCTTGCCTTTGGGTTCCCTTTGATTGCAGTGGAGGCTAGTCCACAAGAAACCTTCCACACGAAACCCAACCCTGAGACCCCAGGACGTCCATGGATGTTTGGTGCGGGAAGGTCACGATTTCCGTAGCGAAACCATCGAAACCCAAGAAACCCAGGGCACCGTCGAGGCCAGCAGGGTGTTTCTTGGCATGGGCCCCAACTGAAATTTGAGACGCTGGGCGGCCCAACGAGGCCTGCGTGCAGAAGGCGGGCGTGTGGGGTCGCTGGGCGTGCGTAGGAAGTGTACGGTGGTCATTATACATCATGATGCCTCTGAGCATGCCTATATGAGTTGTCGTTTTTCGTGTAGGCGTTCTGGGTGCAGTCCAACTCCACAGTAAGGATGCAAGGTAAGGGTTCAAGACCTTTGGAACTCTCATTGACCATTTAGAGCAGCTTGGGCATCAACATTGGCGCAGGTTGGGCCAAAGAAGAAGGGATGCAAGGCTAGCCTTGGTGAAGCATCGAATCCTTACCATGGATTTTGACTGAATGGTCGTTTTGGGCATGCCTAGCCGAGTCCAGAGCGGGTGTGTCTTTAGCAGAATCAGCGGGAAAACGAACCTTGCGCGACGGCCTCCGCAGAGCGCACACGCGGCACGCCGCGTCGCTTGGCGGCGCGCACAAAGGGATACGTAGGGGCAGGGAGGAGGCTTCTTTGGGAGGCTGCTTCGTAGAAGGCCCCGGCCTTACTTCTTCAGGCAAGGCCCGCGCCCTCTCAGAAGCAGGGTGTTTCCAAGAAGCCGTCCCCCCTCCCCCTCCCCCCCATCCGCACGTGGCCGCGTGACGACGCCGAATGCGGACGACGACGACGACGACGACGACGACGACGACGACGACGACGACGCGACTGCGCGCAAACCCACGCGGGCGGCCTGCCCGCGCCTGCCCGCTCGGTCGGCCCCGCCCGCCGCCTCCGGTGCCGGAAGCGCCCGGCGACTGGGTGCGCTCAGCGACAGGCGCGCGGGTTGCATCCGCCGCGCGCCTTCCAACTTTTCCCCCTCCTCGTGCTCGTCCTCCTCGTCCTCGTCCTCGTCCTCATCCTCCTCGCCCTCGTCGTCGTCGTCGTCCTGCACCTCCTCCTGCCGCCCTTCCCTCCTCGAGGCGGGGGGGGGCGGGAGCGGCTTGCCCGAGGCGGCCACGCCGCCCGAGCGGATCGCGCAGGAGCCGCCCCGGGAGGACGGGGGCCGCCGCCCCCGCTGCCCCGCGCGGGCCCGGCGGTGCTCGCGCCCCGAAGGAGCTCCGGGCGGTGCCCAACGGGCCAAGCAACGGTGCGCGCCAGGGGCGACAGGGCGCGGGCACCCGACGGGGTCAGACAGCATCGGGTCGGCAGATGTGAAGAAGAGAACACCGCGAGCCCCTCGGGCCCATCGAGGAGGACGGCTGCGGCGAAACCCAACGGACAGGAAAAACCGACTCGAGTAGTGGAGACGCTTGGTTTTCAGAATGGTTTGTTCATCGGGTCTGCGTGGCGGCGCCCCCGTTGACCCGCAGGCCCTCTGCGCGCCTGCGCTCATACTGCACAAGACCAAACTGGAAGAACGGGGAGCAATGGAGGAGGAGAAGGAAGCATTTGAGGGGAGGCGGGCGATGCCAAAGAAACGCAGCGAGGAGGGACAGCGGCCCAGAGAGGAGGAAGAAGGTGACAGAGAGACTCACGCGATAAAGGGGGAGGAAACGGAGGAGGAGGCCAAGGCGGGGGATGATGAGGAAGGGGGGTGCAAGGAGGACTGGGGGCTGGAAGGGAAAGGTGTGGATGGGGGGAGCCACGGAGGCTCAGCTAGAGCAAGAGAACGAGGAGTGTGCTCCGGAAGCGAAACCCGCGTGGCGACCGAGGCGGAGGGGCGCGAACGTTTTTTCTTCCGACAGAACTCTGCGACGAGGCAGGCGCTCCCCAGCGCTGGGGCCACATGCGCCCTGCTAGTCTCGCGCACCGCTGAAGCGCGAAGATCCGCCGCCCGCTGGCGCCGACGGCCTCGCGCGAGCTCGCTGAACACGCGTTCAGGCAAGCTCGTTCCAGGGGTTGCCCTCAGTGGGCCCGGAGCTGCTCGCGATGCCGCCCCGAAGCCAGGGCGGGGCCGAGGCGTTGCCGCCGTCGCCCGCGCCGCCCCAGCCCTACGTCCACCAGTCGTGGCTGCCCCGCGCGGCGGGGCCGGGTCGCTCGCACCCTCCTCGTCCGCCTCGAACAGAGGCAGCGTGGAGGGCTGCCTGCCGAAGACGACGCTGTATGGCGTAATGCCGCCCCAATGGGTGAGGCTGTTGCCAGCGAGGAGCGAGGAGGAGGAGCGAGGAGGCAAAGCGAGGAGGCGGAGAAAAGCGGATTCCTCAGCAGCCCCTGACGGCGAGACCGGATGCTAGCAGCTCAGCCGCTCGATGCGGAGGCCGCAGCTCTGGCAGCCGCCCCCCGCTCCCGAACACGTGCTGGGCGCGCTTGCACAACCGACGTCTGGGGCAAGGGCCCCCCGCCCACGGGCCCGGCTGGCGGACTTTGGGAGGCGGCGGCAAGGCGGCAGCATGCTGCAAGGGAGGAGGCGGCGGCGCGAGGAGGAGGAGGAGGAGGAGGAGGAGGAGCACGAGGGAGGACGAGCGAGAAAGGGCGCGGGAGGAGGACGAGTGAGGAGGAGGAGGAGGAGGACGAGGGAGGGGGAGAGGAGAAGGCGGAGGAGGAGGAGGAAGAGGAGGATGAGGATGAGGAGGAGGAGGAGGAGGAGGAGGAGCGAGGAGGAGGAGGCGGAGGAGAAGGAGGAGGAGGAGGAGGAAGGACGAGGGAGAGGAGGTACGGAGTTACGGAGTAGCCTCGCCGTCAAGCTCCCCCAGGATAAGAACATCCTGAGCCCAAGCAGTAGCCAGCTTCATCGAGGCCTTCTTGCCGAAGAAGGCGTCCTTCTCGGCTAAAACCAGGCTGGCCGTGCGGGCGCGCAGCTGCTTGAGGCAATCACTGGCCAGCAACGGATCTGACCCATTGCGATCCAAGGTTCGGTAGCGAACAGGCAGCGTAATAGTCACGCCCCACCATTCAGCGTAAGAGTTCTTCATGTGGCTGCGGCAGGGAGTCGCGCGAAGCCGTGAGCTCTTAACCACGGGGCCCGCAAATCGACCAGCATAAACGCAGCCGTCTGCACCAGCAAGGCCCTCGGCGGCGAGGATGGAGGCCTCCGACGCTGCAACCCATCACACACACTCGTCAGAGATCAGGTCCCGAGCATCCGGGCGCCATTGCAAGATCCGAAGGTCAGGAGGATAAACAGCAGGCCGATCACCACAAGGACGGCATAGCCAAGCCTGCCCACGAACCGCCTGAGCACGAGCACGACATAGCCAATGGCCCTCGAGGCAGGGTCCGACCGACGGTTCGCACCTCAAGTCGGACAGAAGTGGTGGCCCTTCTGCCTGCTCCTCGCAAGGCAATGGCCCCTGGATAGGAGCAGGAGGGCGCGGGGCGCCCTGGTAGAAGGCGGGGCCGCCCCCCGCATTATGCAGTGGCCCAGCAGGAACATCGGCATGCGCAGCCTCCAAAACGCCCGCAACAGAGGACGGCCCATGACGGTGGTCGAGCCCCGCGGAGACCTCGAAGTCGAGCAGCTCGAAGACGTCCACGTCGCCATCCATTGTGGCGGCAGGCCTCCAGCCGTCCTGGCCAAGACTGGCCGCCGCCAGTGTGTCGGGAACCCCTCTGGACGAGGGTACCTCACCGACCGACGGGCCTACGCCTCCCGAGCGGGCGGGGCCCAGGGAGCGGCGCTCCGTCGGCTGCGGCGGCCAGAAGGGCCGGCGAAGGAGCCGTGGCGCATGAAGCAGAGCAGGTAGTCGAAATCGAAGAAGCGCGAGGGAGGCTGTGACCAGCTTGAAACACATGCAAAGTGGCAGAGTGGAGCAGGCTTCCTGCAGCCTGAGACACATCCACACAAGAGCGAGGCAAGCAAGCATGGGCCTCAACCGCACTCAAAGAAACAGCGCCCACGTCATCACCGTGGCAGTCGAGGCCGTCGACGCACCGACCAGACGATGGCGCGCGCTCGCCGAGAACACGCCTCATCTCCTCACGAATCCTGCGCGGCTCATCCACATGGCGACCGGCAAACATCAGACTGGAGCTGCCCATCGCCACTCACCTGGAGCCACTGCAGATAGCCGATGATGAACTGACGATTCGAGCACGCACCACGCCGAGCCGCCATGCAAATGTCCTGGGCGAGCTGACGCCAGGTCCTACCATTGAGAAGCCCCGACGCCCAGAGCTGGCGCTGCAACTGAGCCTCGACGCAGGGCCCGCGCCACTCCAGCCACGTCGGCCAGCCCGACTCAGGGCCACGCGAGGACGGCGCCCACCTGGCCGCGGCCGCCTCGACGCCCTCCATGAAAACGGACGGAGGCGCATCGGGATCAGGTGGCGGCGACGGTGGGCCCATGTCGCGCGGCTCCTCAGATCTATCAGCAACGCTCTCGAACGTTCGAGCCGCGGCGCCCCCCCCCCCGGCTGGCGCGACAGGATAGCAAGGGCGAGCCACGCGCAATTCCCAAGCGCCCAGAGCGAGCCTCGGGAGAGCGGCGACGCGAGCCCCCCCATCGAGGAGGGGGCGTCCTGGCCAAGACACACCTCAGAAGGTGCCAGCGCAGCGATAGCAGCCAGAGGGCGCAGCCACGCGTTCTCTGTGACCTCGAATGGGCCCGAGGCACAGACTCGCCCGACCTGGCCTCGCCGACGATCAACTCGCGGGCCGCCTCGAAGTCAGCCTGCAGGTCGTCGGGCAGCGCCCCCATGCGCCGCAAACGCGGCCGCCCTTGACAGAGATAAGGAGGCCACAGTGCGTCTTCCACGGCACGCTCTGAATCCACTTGATGCAGCGGTCGGGGCAGGAGACGCCGGCGAACGCGCGGTCGTATAGACGTCCAGGGCTTCTGCCGCATGTGGCCTTGCAATCAAAACGGACTTCCGCTCGCGCCTTCAACTGCTGCGCCCGCCCACTCAGATGCAACTGTGGGGGCTCGTAATTCCAGGCGGCAGCGGCCGGCCACTGGTCCGCCAAGGCCCGCGCGAAAGACGCGAGGGCGACCATGATCTCATCGTTAACACCGCGGAACTCCAGACCAGGCTGTAAGTGAGCCGCGATCGCCGCCGCGTTCCCCGGCTCCAGGTGCAGCGTCAGCGGCGCGAACCGCCTGCACGGGCCCTGGCGCCGCTCCCCACGAGCGAGCGCACGCGTGCGTTGGAAGGAGGGGGACGCGGCGAACTTGCGCGTCGATCTCCATTCGCCACCGCTGGGACCGCCCCGAGAACGCTCAGAAGGGCGAGCTGGCGCGGAGGTCAGCTGCCAGCCAACCTTGTCGAGGTCCCTTTCCAGCTGCGGCTGGGCCCGAGCTCACTGGCGGGTCTCGACCAACGCGACAACGGAATGATCATGGCACATCTCCGCGAGGAGCCGTCGGGCCTGGGGGGCCCACTCTGCGATATTAGAAAAGAAGATAGCCGCATCCTTTGAGGCGTCAGCCGTGTCAAAGATGCTGAGGGGCGCCAGCAGAAGGAACCGCAGTTGCGGCAGACGGCTCGCCCGCGGGGCCTGACCCTCGGCCCGCCTGGAGGGACGCCTCGCGAGAAGCCGCGGCGATGGAGGCCCACCTTGGCGCGCTGCTCCGCCGAAGCAGTCCCGGCACCGCCGGTAGCAGCGCCCGCGCCCGCCTCCGAAGCGGCTTCTCCAGAGCCGCCTGTGGCGCCACCTCCCTCAGGGGAGCCAACAGCCGCTGGGGCCTCGCCCACCTTGGCGCCATCCTCAGCGCGCCGCTTCTTGCGCGATGCGGAGGCCGCGGCCTTGGCGAAGGCGGGTAAGTCCTTTAATTCCTGCTCGCGAGCCTTGGCCTGGACGGTCACGTCCTGGACCTGCTTCTGGAGGGCCTGTTGTTTCTGCCTGTCATCCTCCTTATACTCGTCCAATAGCTGGAAGAGAGACGGGTCAACGCCGAAGGCCGTCAGGAGGTCGGTCGGGGGCTCCGTCTTCTCGATGCCTGCGGGGCCGCCCCGCGCCGCCTCCTGGGCAGCAAAGCGAGCTTGGTCTGCCACGAAGAGGTACTCCGCGGCAGCGAGCTGTCGAGACTTGGCGTCGGCCAGCCACGCCTCCGCAGCGATGAGCGCCTTGGAGGCCTTCTCAAGCTTGGCGTGCTTCTGGGCGTAGAACGAGGTGGCCTCACGCAGCACAACGAATGGGCTCTTCTCCTTGGGCTTGGGCTTGGACGCATCGGCGGCCTGCTGAAATTGCTGGGCCAAGGAGAGGGCATTCGGGTCGGCCCTACATGCCCGTCGCCTTGAGGTACTGTTCCAGCAGCTGCTCAGGCTCAACGCGGAGCGGCAAGAGAGACGGCCAATCCACTGACGGCGGAGTCCAATCCTTCGAGCCTTTGTCGCCACGCTTCCAAAAATCGCGCACGAAACCCGTCTGGTGGAGGCCGCAGATCTTGCACTTACCATACTGCTTGCGCAACCTCCAATCGTAGCACCCGTTGCCGCAGCCCGAGCACGTGGTGTAAGCCATGTACTTAACTTTACCATCAGCCTTCTGACGCGACATGAAATCGGACGAGAGAAGGTAAGCGTCCTGGGTTGGGGCAGACCAGCCGCAGGATCCAGGTCAGGGCGAACTGACCGACCAGTTGAATCAAGCCGCGGTGAGAGCGGTATCCAGTCTGGCACAGGGGCGCGGAACCCTTCGGTGCAGCAGTCTTGAAGGACGAGGAGGGGGAGCACGAGGAGGAGGAGGAGGAGGAGGACGAAGGAGGAGGAGGAGGACGAGGGTCGAGGGCGAGGAGGTGGAGGAGGACGAGGGCGCAGGAGCGAGAAAGGGCGAGGAGGGGCACGCGCCGCGCGCCACCCCATTGGCCCTCTCTCGCGGGCGCGGCGCCCCCGCCCCCGCCAGGCCTTTGCCCACCTCGACGGCCCTGGGCCGGCGCGCGAGGGGCGGCGTGGGCCGGCGCGCGAGGGGCGGCGGAGGGGTCGGGGGTGCGCCGGCTTGAGGGGCAGCGGTAGGGTCAAGTCGGGCATGTCACCCGGCAGGGGGATGTTCGACGAGAAATTAAAAAAAATACCCACTAAAATCCGCCGACCCTGTCGGCGTGTGTGAGGGGCTTTTCCGTTCGAGCCGTCATCTCCGTTATTCTTTGTACTCGTCGTCTCTGTCCTTCCCTTTCCCTGGGACTCCTCTTCCCCTGGGCTCCGCGCCCCAGCCGCCCGAGCCGCGCCCGAGCCGCTCGAGCCAAGCCGACCTTGAGCAACGTCGTAATTCAGTCGAAGGGAAGCCCCTTCCCTTTGATCCCTCCCCCGCCGGGAGGGGGGGGGAGGTAGCGGGGGGGGGTAGCGACCCCCCCCCCGGGTCAGATACGACGCCCCTTCCCCGTACCGACCTTGAGCAACGTCGTAATTGAGTCGAAGGGAAGCCCCCTCCCTTTCCCTTCCCCGACGGGAAGGGGAGGGGGGTTCCCGGGGGGGGGTCCCGGGTCAGATACGACGCCCCCCCCCGTACCGACCTTGAGCAACGTCGTAATTGAGTCGAAGGGAAGCCCCTTCCCTTTCCCTTCCCCGACGGGGGGGGGAGGGGGGGTCCCGGGGGGGGTCCCAGGGGAGTCCCGGGGAAGTCCCGGGTCAGATACGACACCTCCCTCCCCCACCTTCTCGTCCTTCTCCCCGTTCCCCAAAACCATCCCACAGCCCGTGCCTCTTGCTGCGCATTGCGAACAGGGTCGGCGGCACCGGCCGTAAGGCCTTCGCAATAAGCAAAAACAATCCAAAACTAGTCTGGGGACTATTTTTGGAATATTGCTTGATCTTTTGAAGTATGTTGGGGGTATTTTTTATTTTTCGTCGAACATCCCCCTGTAGGGGGTCACGCCCGACTTAACGGTAGAGGGGGACTGGCATAGGGGGGGGGATGCATCAACCTGGAATCGGAGATACATCGCCGATGGATCGGCGACAGGCCCCAGATGGTGAATCCGCATCTTCCTGGGCAGGCTGGCGCTGTCGGGCCCCCATCGGCGATCAACGGGCAATTGGGGGTCGATGCATCCCCCACTATGCCTATCCCTCCCTGTCGTTGCCCCCGATGGCTGATTGGGCAAGGCCACTTCACGAAGGACACAAGCAACTCCAAACGTAAACCCTGGGAGCTCGGACAACGTATGTTAATGCGCTTGCTATCAAACTTCGTAGGAGGGCAAGAGCAATGTCAGAGACACGCCGCAGAGAGGAACCCGTCAGCGTGCTACTTGTAAAGGGATGCCGGGTTCTCGGATCATAAAAGAAGGGTAGCCCGCTGAAGGGTTCCCAACGGCAGCGAACCATTCATGCGTACCCGTTTCTCCTCCGAAATTCGGGGAGACGAAAGATGACGACGAAAAACTCGAGCTCCCGGGGGCTCGAGATTAATCGACGGGGCCATCAAACAAATGCCGGGACCTAATCTGAAATCTTGCACGGGCTACCGCTGCAACTATCTCAGGAGAACTCGACCGTCCAAAAGTGGCGGCACGACGACTTCTGGCAATTTTGAGTCTCACGTTTCCCCGATGAGCCAGCATCGTGTCGGGAAATCTGATCGGCTCGAGACGTGCGTGCGATCGGGCTGTATCGGCACGAGGCGAGACCGAATCGGATCGGCTGCGGCAAAATGTCCACTGGCGCCATGCAAACATCGCCCACAGGTCGGGTGTTGCTAGGAGTGCCCCTGGCCCGAGGTGACCCCTTGGCGGCGCCTCCTGCGCCGCCAAGGGCACCTCCGAGCGGACCGAACTGGCTGACCCAAGTGGCCGCCGACCCCTGTGACGTGCGCTCCGAGAAAAAAAAATGACGCCCGAAATGGGTACAGAAAAAATTGGTACAATGCCCAACTACAAATGGTGTCCCAAACCAACAGCGGCCGCTGTTGGGCAGGCGGCCTTAGATGAGAGGGCAGAACATCCACCCCGACAAGAACCACCCCGACACGCGAGGCCCGAAATCAACACGTCCAAAGAAGGGATCGGCCAGGCCAGGGCTGTTTAATAAGCGCCCAGGGCCGTTTAATAAACGCCAATTGTCCGGTCTGGGTGGTTGTTCCTCCCTCCGTATATGTATTCTGCGTGTGGTCTATGTCTGCTTTGCAATGAGTGGGTTGTGCTGAGTACAGTTGGTCTCTTGGGTGGTGTGTTGCGAGTGGGTTGTATGCATTCTGCGTTTGGGGTATGTACGCTGTGATGTGCGTGTTGTGTTGTGTTGTGCTGTGTGTTGTGTGTTGTGTGTGGATTGCTCTGTGCATTTGGTGTTTGTGTGATGTGCGTATGTGTGTTGTGTTGTGATTATGTGTGTTATGTGTGTTATGTGTGTTATGTGTGATGTGTGGGTTGTGTCGTGTCGGTGTGTGTGTGTGTTGTCGATGATGTGGTGTATGTGTGTGTTATGTGTTTGTGTGTGTGTTGTGTGATGTCGTGTGTGTGTGCATGTGTGTGCATGAGTGTGTGTGTGTATCTGTTGTGTGTTGTGTGTGATGCGTGGGTTGTGTGTGTTATGTAGCGTATGTTGCGTGTGTGTGTGTGTGTGTGCGTGTGTTCTCTGTTATGTGGGTCGTGTGCTCTGTGGGTTGTATATGTTGTGTGTGTGTGTGTTCTGTGTGTGCGTGCGCGTGCGGTCCCGCGTCTGAAGGCCCGGCCGCGCCCGTCAGCCCTTTGCCGTCTGCTCGACTTGCTCCGCCTCGTCACCACGCGCGAAGCCGCGACTGCCAAAACATGTGAAGGTGTGTGTGTGTGTGTTTGCGTGTGTGTGTGTGTGTGTACGTCGGGACTCGAGACGGCCCCAGGGCCGGGGGAGTGCCCGTGGAGGCCGGACACCTGCGAGACGCGGCGCCGGCTGGTCTGCGAGGAGGGAGGGCGGCTCGCTTGAGGAGCTCGGACTCGGTCAGGACATCGCCCATGCTCTCGTCGAACTGCTCGAACGCGCGCCGGCACTCCGCGACCCGCTCCGCGCTCCTGACGGGGCGCCACTGGGGCGGGCAGCGGGGCGGCGAGCCGGCCCTCGGGCCGCACCTTTTGGCCCCCCTCTGCCCCCCATCCCTCTCCAGCGAGCCTTGCTTCTCTGGTCCCCCCGTCCTCTCCTGCTCACTCCAGGTCCTCCTGTCCTACCTCCTCACAACCAGATATTCCTCCTCGTACTCCACCTCCTCCTCCTACCCCTCCTCCTCCACCTCCTCCTCCTCCTCCTTCTCTAGTTCCTCCTCCTCCTCCTCATCATCATCCCTTCCTTCCCTACCTCCCCTCCCCCATCGCTCCCACTTCCCTCTCCTGCCCTCCTCCTCCTGCTCCTCTTCCGCGTCCTCCCCTTTCCTCCCCGCCCCATCCTCCCCAGGGGCGGGCGCGCCAGCCCACAGCGACCATGTACTGCCTCTCCAACTCGCGCTGCGCAGCCTGTGACGCGCGGGGGCCCGTTGACGCTCCCGCGGCCCTTCTCTCGGGCACGGGATGGAGAGCAGGGAGAGAGGGAGCGGAGGGATCGAGGAAAAAGGGGGAGGGGGACGGAGGACGGGAGTGGAGGAAAGGTCGGGGGGCGATGAAGAATACAGCGAAACCCGACGGTAGGAGGACGAGGAGGAGCTGGACGAATAGTGGGATCCAGACGGCACGGAACCAATCAAAAGAGTTTTGCTCACGCAATCTGGCCGCGGCCCTGGCGTCGGCCCAGATCTGGCCTTGCCGACGCTGTGGCAGCAGAGCCGTGCCACAATAGTGCAATGCGTTTCGAGGCTTCTCCTGTGCAGCTCTACACTGCGAACGCAATGCTAAACCTAAGCGCCGCCACTCGCAACAAAACAAAGAACACTTCCACACCCGTCAAATTGTTTAGTGGGTTTGGAAGGGTCGTGAGTCGTCAAGTCGAGCCCACTAGCAGGACAGAAAGAGAGGGGGGGAAAAAGCTTCGAGTAATCCGCACCGAAACCTTAACCTTCGGCTTTTGCTCCCGACGGTGCGCATGCCTACTGGAACGATGTGCGCGGGGCCCAGCGGTCTCGGCCAGCGCAGCGGCCGGTCCAGGTCGCAAGTTGATGTTTTCCGAAAGTCTAACAATCCCACGGCCCCTGACGATAGAAACCGAAACATGTTCCTGGAGCGACAAACCAGCCCCCAAACGAGTCTTGCGGGACCCTCAAGTTTGTTCGGAGAGAATCTGCAGCCTGTTGAAAGAGGAAGAGAACAACCAGCAGCAGCACGAGAAGGAGGCGGAAGACGAAGGAGGAGGCGGTGAGGCGGACCTCTCTTTCCCCCTCCTGCTCCGGACGCCCGGTTTTCCTCTGACGATGGGGCGCATGTCGCGTTTGATGAGACGCTGTGAAGTGGTGGCTGGCGTATTCGTAATCCTGGCCCTCCTCCTGCTCCTCGGCTTCCCCCGTCCACTCGTACCCTTGTTTTTAGGACTCACGGCAGAAACTGTTGGTCGTGAACTGCAAGAAAACCCGAAACCTCAAGAGGGCAGCCACACCTTCTGTCGGAGGGCCACTTTTCCTCCACCTGTTCCTGCTCTTGCTCCTCCTGTTCCTGTTCCTGTTCCTGCCACTGTTCCTGCTCCTGCTCCTGCTCTTGTTCCTGCCCCTGTTCCTGCTTCAGCTCCCCCTCCTCCTCCTCCTCCTCCTCCTCCTCCTCCTCGTCCACCTCCTCCTCCTCCTCGTCCTCCTCCTCCTCCTCCTCCTCCTCGTCCTCGTCCTCATCCTTCTCCTCTTCCTCCTTCTCCTCCTCCCTGCGCCCCTGCGACCGCAGCGCAAAGGGGGGTCGCCAGCCCGCAGCTTCAGCGAGATCCTCGCGAGGGGGGCATACAACGGGGCGGCGCGCAACAGGCTGCCATGGCGGCACCGCCGGAGCGCCTCTCGTCGGCGCGCCTCGTCGTTTCCTCCTCCCGTTCTCTTCCCCTTTCGCTTCTCGTCCGTGCCCCTCCTCGTCCTCGTCCTTCTCGTCGCCATCCCCCATCCCGTGTGTCCTCCTTCTCCTCCTTGTCCTCCTCCTCCTCCTTTTCCTCCTCGTCCTCCTCCTCCTCGTCCTCCTCCTCCTCCTGTGAAAGAATTGCGCGGTAACGATCGGATTCTTTCTGTAGCCAACGAAGGTGTACGCTCCACGGGTTGAACGCTTGAACCAAACGGCGTAGATAAAGACGGCCCCTCGACCTCTATGTTCAGCGACGCGTCTCGCCCACAATCGTGACGGCATGGTTTAACATCCCACCCCGCTTCGACTGGTGAGCCAGAAGCGCAGACGGGAGGATGCGAGCTGTAAGCCTGGCTCGTTGAAATATGTATTGTCCAGATAGCAGAGTTTAGCTGTCAGGTTTCCAACGAATCAAATTCAAAGGGTCAGACAAAACGTTGGCTGCAAGCGCGTAGCACGGCACATGTAAGAGGCGGTCACGGCCTGGGCGTAGCGGTAAAAGGACTTCCTAACACATGCGATACACGATTTGCATGTACAACAAAACGCAAAGGCCCGGTTGGCGTCTTCAGTATCTCTGAGCAGCAACGGAAGTGGGAGAAGAGGTGCTGCCTCCCAACGCTAATATCTTCCTGGTGCGTTCCCTGGCGGCGTGCAAGCCCGGCCTCCCCTGCTCCTAACATCGGCTGGCGTGTTGTCTGAAACGAACACAAACACTCGGTTTATTGCGTTTGCTGGGTCGCGCATGTTTGATGCCAGGTTCGCGTTGTTGAGCTGCTCCGTGGTGGCCCACCGATCAAAAGGCGTCCTCTAGCTCCCTTTTCAACGTTCTTGTCGATCATGCTGTCGCGGATATGCCCGCTGCCTGCCAAAAACAACGAACAGGATCGCGACTTGCTGTCGCTCGGACGTCCAGTTCCCGTGCATCTGTCGGTTGCGTGCGTGGTTTTGTTTTTTGCTGGATGGTCCAGGATGGTCCTCGATGGTTCTCGCAGAGAGAAAGTGCACACGCCCGAGCGATGCCAAGGCGAGGGCAAGATGGGAGAGCCCTGCCGGCGTCGGCCCGCCTCCTGCTGAGTTCGGCTCCCGTGCTCAGCTGAGCCAGTCGGAAGGGGCCCCAGGACACACACACACACATAAATACACACAAATAAAAGGATTCCCCATACTGTCCCATATTTCCCAGGTTTTCGTCTTCCCCCCCCCCTTCCTATATTTTCCAATATTTTCGGGGGGATCGACGATTCATTGTGTCTGTGTGTTCCTTTCCTTCCTGACAGCCACCTGCACGATTTTAGCCACAAGCCGAGATCAAGCTGGCAGCCGTGCCTGCCAGCAGAGAGGATCTGTCCTGCCTCTGCTCTCGTGGCGGACATCCGGTTTCTCAAACGGCAATGCGAATGGCCCCGCGTCGGCGGTGCGACGAGCCCTCGATCACTCGACCTCGAGGGCAGTCTGATACCAGATGGTCGCTGCGGGCTTTGCGGTCGCACGCGCACTGCAATGCGAAAAGGGGGGCGATGATCCTGGGGGGGAGGGGGGGGGCATTTGATTTTATCGAACGAGCTGACACATCCCATGCTCTTGCAAACATCCCACCCACCCGCAAGGTGGTTTGCAAAACCCATGCGGCGGCGATTGCGATGCATGCTTGGCGTTGATTGGTGCATCTCCGCGCTCGCGCCTACTCAAGCATGGCGCGCGCGGCGGCCAGCTAGTTTGGCGCAGCCGACGCGAACGTGGTGGCGCTGACCACTCGGCACATCCCAGCGGGCACTTCCGTGCGAGTTGTCGACTCGGCCGGGCGCGGTACCATGGCGACGTCGACAAAGGTAGACGCGATGATGATAATAGCGATGCTGGCGGCGATGCTGACTGCGACGACGGGGCAGCCAAGAACGGCGCCAATGCTGATCACGCCGAAGACGGCGACGGCGTCTTCGCGTCGGCGATGAAGATTTGGGAAAGAATTCGAAATGCGCACGGCGGACGCGCGAGAGTGGCCCGCATGTTGTTATTTGACACGGATCGCGCCACCCGAGCGCGCGCGCAAGGGCGTTCGACAAATTTCGACATGCGCGCGCGCGAAGCCCGATTGGTAGCATCTCATGAAAAAGTTGACAATGGATGTTTCTTTTCTCCGTCAGAATTTCCAAGAGCGCGCGCGATTTCTGTTCGGGGGGGAAAAATGCGGTGCGCAACCCTGTTTGTTGATGCGTTTTTTAGGTACTCGATCTTGAGATGCTGTCGAAACCGAAGGTGTTGGATTGATTCCGGCATGCGCCCGCGACGACGCGCGCGCGTGCACTTCTGTTAAAGACTCATGATTTTCGATAAACAAATGCGCTCGCATATTTCTTGGAAGAGGATGGCGGGGGGGGCGATGCTGGCCTGGCTGGGGCGGTATGATAACATGTTTTGGATGGGCGACGGGGCGGAATCATATGTAAACTGCAATGCGAAAGTGGGATCGATTTCCCCGGGGGAGGTGGGGGAGTCTGTTCTCGCTTTACAAAGAAGAAAGCATGAAGTGATGTATACGTACGAATAGGCGTCGTGCAATCTACGTGGTGCAATCCATGCGTTGCAGCCTGTGCGGCGTGTTCTGTGCGTTGCAACCACTGGTGTGCAAATGTATGGAGCAATATGTGGTGCCACCTACGCGGAATTATAGATTGCGTAATATACGCGGAACATCCTGTGGTGCTATCTGCGCAAGGCAATGCCGCTTGTGCAGTGTGGAGCCGCCAGCGCGGTGAAACCGGTTGCTGCTCGTCGCAGGTTGTCAAATCCATTGCTCGCGTAACCATCCCACCCGCCAGGCGGCGGCTTGGTTTGCAGCGCCCATGCGGCGGCGATTGCGATGACTGCTTGGCGCTGGCTGGCGCATCGCATGGGCCTCCCAGCGCGACTCACAGGCCACGCCGACGCGCTGGCAGTTCAACGCGACGAGCGGCTCGGGCGGGCGCGGTGTCGAGGCGGCGTCGACGAGAGGAAACGCGATAATGCAAGTAGCGACGCCGGTGGCAATGGCGACGACGGCGACGGCAAGGCCAATGACGGCGCCGACGCTGGCCACGCTGGCGACGACGATGGCGCCCGCGCGTTGGCGATGAAGGTCCTGGAAGGACGACGACATGCGCGCGCGGCTGACGGGGGCGAGTGGCCCGCGCGAAACTACTGGACAGCCCCCCCCGGCAAATTTGAATCTGACGCGCGCGCGCGAACGGCCCGTCCGGCCGCGCCCGATGGCAACAAACAAAAAAAACGATGGCTCCCGAACGAATTCGCAACAACGCGCGCAAAATTTTGGACTGATAATAAAAAACATTGTTCTCCAGACCAACCACGGCGTTGGGTCCTCGTTTTGAAGAGACACCGCCCCGCGCCCTCAACTTCGCCCCCCCCCTCTCCGCCCCCCCATCCCTGCCTCTGCCCTCCGCGCGCCCCTGCTTTGTCGCACTCCTCGCGCCGTTCGCGGCCGCGTGGGGAAC